TGTGTATTTAACAAATAGATATAAGATTTTGCCGTTGTCTGTTTTATCTATTTGTTTTTTACAATAAAAAGAAAAACTCCGAATTCATCAGGTAAATAGCTCACTTTTAATCCACCCAAACATTTGGAAATTGAAAAAGTCGAAATTTTACAAATATTTAGCCGGCGTAGCAGGCGCTATTTCCGTAGGGAGAAGTACCCCGAGGGTGGGAGAAGTACCCTCGCCCTCCCCCCTAAAATAGCGCCTGAATATTATGCGTACATGATCTATACAGATAAGGGATGCTATTGGATAAGGTTTTTGTGTGACGTAATTCCATGTGTTTGTCCTCTATGGAAAAATTTGCGGCGGGAACGGGGGGGAGTGGTTCCGGACCTAATATATCATATTTCGTACTTGATATTTTCAATACAAGTACACCGGTTTTCTTTCATCTTTCCTTGTTTTTGATAGGTTTTTTGGGTTTGTTTTTTTTTTGGGGGGGGGCGGGGGGCTTAGCCCATGTTCCGCCGCCTATGTAGCGCTCTGAGCTACAGAGTCCATTTGCACACTGTATACACATCCTAGCATATATCATTCATGGTTAGCCCTTTCCACCTGGACTCAGAGTTCTGTGATCAGAGCGCTAGGATGGCCTATATTTGCATTCTTCGCAACTGCTCCTGGTAAGGTCTAAAGTATGTATAAAACTTGGGTTGACAAGGATGCAACTACTTGAAATTTGACGTTTCGAGCCCTTTGTCACGAAGTTAGTAGCCACTTCCTTCCTAACTCAATCACTCAAAAACAACGCGTTGAGGCACTGTTGTTTGTATTCCAGTGTTTTTAAGTTCAAAGTCAGTACATTTCTATGCTCACTCTTTTCAGAACTTTGGAAATACGCAGTTTCGTCGAGTTGGCAGATACGAACAAATTAAATAACTTTTAAAGAGCACCGCGCTCGAATAAATGCATGAGCATGCGGCACATACGCTTAATTTGCATGCGGCACATACGAAAGTCTAACACACAAACTGACAATCAATAACCCTGACACTCACCTTCTGTATCAGCGTACGTTCCAGGTGGACAAAGAGTATAATTCCTACTTCCTTTAGGACAGTAAGCACCTAATGGGCACCGACCGCCAACCATGCTACCAGTAGGTGTAGCCACATTTGCACCACCTGTGCAGTAGTAGCCAGGGAAACAGTCTCCGTCAGGGTTCGTTAGGGTTGCTGCGGTACATATCTTGCCAGGAGGACATTGTATTGGTGCAGGAGAACCTAAGGGACAATATGTGCCCGGCTGACAAGGTCCACCACCTTCATCAAGGTTTCCAGGTGTCTTGCTTATTGATCTGTTGCTACAGAAATATCCACCATCGCAAAGACCTGTCACACTGCTCAAACCTGTTATGAAATGAAAATAACTATTTTTACAACCAAAATTACTAAGAATGTGTGAAGCATCAAACCTTTTCCATTCCGAACCAAACAAACTTCAGTTGCGTTCACGCTAGGGAGAGATTACATATCGACCGCCGCTCTCAAAACTAGAGGTATTTAGATAGTGCATCTGCAGAGCATAAATATTATAGAATTAATTTATGGCTTCCGTGTTTGAATGGCCTGATCCAAACACGCGGGAATGTTGCGAGAGTTAAGAAAAGCGCGCGAAAGCACGAACCGAAGGCGAGTGATTTTGCGCGCTTTTCTTAACTCGAGCAACATTCCCAAGTGTTTGGATCAAGCCATCCAAACACGGAAACCATAAAGTAATTGTTTTATAAAATAACAACTTTCCGTGTTAAAATTTCACTTTAAAAAACTTTCACTTTAAATTTCCGTGTTTGGATGGCCTAATCCAAACACAGGTTTCGACCAATCAGAGCACGCGTTAAAAATATGTTATTTTATAAATAAAGTTACTGGTGTGACACCCAAACATTTGTTGTTGTGTGTTTGGTATATGCTAGAACCTGTGATTCAGTGATATGAACCTTCTTTTGTATTTTCACATCTGGAAATTGCAAACTGGTTCCACTTATGATAATATATTTTACCACTTTTAATATATTAACTTTTAATATATCATTGTCCAATACTGCCGCATTTGGTTTACGATCATATTTTTTGCTACGACCTTCACGAATCGAGTTCATAAATTTCAAATCATGACGAATCATGTGTTTATTATACTTTGGGTGACCGTAAATCCCCCATTAAGACCCTTTCTCAATTAATGACTTCTATTCAGGTGCAACGCCCTAAACACTGAGCTACAGAGTCCAATTAATTGCTGGACTGATTAACAACAAATTCATATTATATGATGGAATGATGCTTTGAAAAAAAGTCGACATTTTTGAGCATCTCGTTCGATAGAACTAATGTTGTAACTGTTCCTGGTTAGGTTTAAATTCCGTCTACAAAAAACATCTACTATTAGTTCGATGGTTCTAGAAATGCCCCAATATCTCGATATTTACCCAATCTATATATTGAACAGTTATTCTTGATGAGGCGCGTAGCGCGGAATCGGCTATCGCTCATATTCGACGAGAGTGAGTGGAATAACTGTTTTATTATATACAAACGTCTGAACTCACAGACTTTGCTTTTCGAATATTTTCAATATTTTCTATTTTGTTTGTTTCTATTTTGTAATATGTATATTTTTAAGCATTTTAAATTTTAAATTTTAAAAATTAATTTGCTAACCTGTAAACAATTTGTGGGAGTTTTTTGATTGTGTTTTTAATCCTGTAAAGGCTATAAAAGCGGACAACTTGCCGTTTTCTCGTTCGCAAAACGTCGGAACTCTACTAGCAGGATATGAGTTAATATCCTGCAAGTAGAGAACCAATCAGATTGCAGAATGCCTCATGTCCAGATCTTGTGTATATAAGAAATATATATACATATATATATACATATATATATATATATATATATATATATATATATATATATATATATATATATATATATATATATATATATATATATATATATATATATATATATATATATATATATACATATATATGTACGAGTGGTAAATGATATAGGTTTTTTTTGACAGGTTCGGGATAATTGTTTGCCTACACAATAGTCTAAAAAACCCAGAAGAAAACAAACTCTACCTTTCGTTGCGCAATACGATCCTGGAGTGCATGGCTGGCAATCATCCAGGGAGGTACGTGATGTAAGATTACTAAACGTTCCAGCAGGACAAGGATTTGCATTACTAGTCTTTGTGTTCAACGGGCAATAATATCCAGCCGGGCACGCGTCAGGAGTTGTCGTATTGATAGTACAGAAAGATCCGGCAGGACAATCCAAACATGTCTCCCTCCCAGTTTCGTGGTTATATTCCCCAGCAGCACACGCAATGGGCCAAGGACTACCTTCTGGACAACGATGTCCTCTAAAGCACTTCCCACCAAAAGTATCATTCGTCGGCTCACGGACGGGAGATCCAGCTTTACAATAATATCCTGGTGCGCAATTTCCTGTCCATTCGGTTTGGTTGCCATAAGCACAATAATGCCCGGCGTCGCATATGTCGCACTCGTCGGCACTTTTAAGTTTATTTCGCCCAGGTTTGGCATATCTACCAACAGGACAGCGTTGAGGTGCGGACGATCCGGCTTCGCAGTAGTAACCCCCAGATGGACATGGCCCGAAATCTTCACTACTCCCAGGAGTGGCAGTTATTGCTCTTGTCTTACACCAGTAGCCTGCCGCACACAGGCCAGTAACATTAGACAACTTCGCTTGGACACAGTAATGACCCGGAGTGCAACCCGTGCATTCATTTTCTTCTTCTAAACCTTCGCGACTGCCAAACGTTCCTTTTGGACACGGAACTGGAACACCATTCTCTCGAACATCATTTCCTATAATGCAGTAGGATCCACGAGGGCAAGGCAGAGGAACGTCAGAGCCTCGAGGACAGTATTTGCCGGCGGGGCATACTGTACATTCAAACATCCCAGTTTTATCAGCATAATAACCTAAAAAATAATTCAATATAAATAAAAAGCCTGTTCTTGCATGAACAAAAATATGAGTGACTATCAATTTCCCCACATATTCCGACTGATTGTACATGTGATCAAACTATCAAATGATTACAGTGATTATGTAACATCATTATACAGGGTGAATAAAAAAAACGTAATCGAACTTCAGCGCGCTATTATACGTGAATTACTCGGCGTATGAACAATTGGTTTTCATTTTCGGAAAGATCAGGCTTTTAGCTATTGAATGACATGCTTTCCATGCCAAGCGGAGAAAAAATTAGCATGTAAAAATGCTAGTCAAAATCGCATATTTTCACCTCTGTGCCTAATTAAAACAATGCATAACAAAAGAAAAAGCAATTAATCACGAACGTGTCGTGGCTTAGCTAAGATTTATTCCTACTTTATTAAAAATAATAATTATGAATATGTGCGTCGTTTATTGAAGTGAAATTCATCAACTTAAGAGTACCAAAGGGAGTTCATTTTCAATGGTTTTAGACCCAACTCTCAACCGTGAAAATATGCGATTCTGACTAAGGGAGCACTCGTTATTAATGCCGGGGGGGGGCGGGCGGGGGGCGGAAGATATTTCTAAACTCATGGTAAATTTCTCATGGCCCCTTATTCTTTCAAAATATATTTTCATGTCCCCCCCTTTAAATATAATAAATTTTCATAGGCCCCCCCCTCTTCCCCCCTGTGATTGAACTTGCATTCCAAACATATACTGTAGACGCAGGGCCTGTGATCCACAAGCGGCCCAATCTCGCAAGCGACAGTATAGACTTGTATTTATAGCAACGTATATTATCGGTAAAAATATGTAAGAAAATATAAATTTTAAAATGAAATTGACTTGTCTATTCGATAGTGTGTGTTCTCCTTTTATTCCTCTTTTGTTGGACTAATATTTTCCGAGACTTTGCACTAGATCAGTCTCGATGGTACTTGACCCTTGCGAGATTGGGCCACCTGCGGTGCAATTAATGATTTTGACAATCTCGTTCCCAGAGTATGCCTGTTCGCGGGTTATGTAGTGCCACTACATAACACGCGAACAGGCATACTCTGGGAACGAGATTGGATTTTCGATGGCTGAGGGGAGCGGGAAATCGGAACAAGTCCAATATGGCGGGGAAATTTATCTTTATCTTGTATAAAAACCACATGGACGAATTGAACTAAATTTTGGCACAAGAATGAGTTTAAAAAACATAGTATGGCAAAAAGAGCCTGTGGACAATACCTGGAAACAGTTTTAAGAGATAACAGGGTTCGTACAGGTCAGGAAGAGTTAAATTTAAGGACTTTTCAAGGACATTCAAGGCCGTGTTTCAGCAAATTCAAGGACTAAATACTGAAGAAGGTGTTAGAAATCAGCAAAATCTGACGTTGAATTGTTCAAAACCTAACTTTATGAGGTCAGATATGAACATGCAAAATCAGTTCAACAAAATGTACGTCTCAAATGTCAAACAATTTCAGAAAATATCCAAAAACTAAAGCAAGAAGAATTCAAGGATATTCAAGTACTTCTTTACAAATTCAAGGACATTCAAGGCCTTGAATTTTTGTTTTCAAATTCAAGGACATTCATGGACTTTCAAGT